CCAGAGAAGTGGAGTTGCTTCTGTGACTACCTGACCATGTGGATTATGAGCTTTTGGGAATGGCTTATAAGAAGAGATAAAAAGGCTCAGAGATGTTGCCTACAAGAGAAGCGCTGGAACAGCTTGGGATATTCTATATGGGAGATTCTGGCCAGCGTTCAGAAGACCAGAAGGCTGAGAGAAATCCTGCCTGTAAAGACCAGGCTGAGGCATTTCTGATGGAGAAAGGACTGACTGACCGTTGGACTCCAGGTGATGTGTGCTATGGCTTGGCAGAAAGTTTGTCTGCATTTTGCTCCTGTCCAGAGACTTTGCCCGAGACTTAGATTAAGTACAGCAAACTGATTAATCTTGCAAAAGAAATTTCAAGACAGTCCAATGTTGAAGCACTGGTGTGGCTATTGTTGGAGGCTTTCAGTGAGATTTATGTTGAGAATCAAAAGCAAAGAACCCAGCAGGGTAATTTAAAATGTTGTGTTTGGCCAGAAAGGAAGCTCTAATAAAGCTGTGGACTGCAGAGATAGAGCTGAGAAGATCTCCACTGCCAAGAAGGAAAAAGAGAATGGAAAGTATGGCCTGAGGACATCACAGGAGGCGGCAGGTCTCCACCCTTTGCAGCCTCAGATTGCAAAGGTCAGGGATTTTGCCTTGAGGGGAAAGCTGCAGAGCCCGGTGTTCCAGAGTGGAGGCGGCCACACCAGGTTCCAGAGTGGTGCCAGCAAAGAGAATTTGTTTCTCAGAATCAGGGTCAGAGTGCTCAGCGATCCAGGCACTTGACCCCTGCAGCCAAGAGAGAGGAGAACCTGGCTACTGCTCCAGCTGGCAGCAGCCCTTGGCATCGTCCACGTGGTATTGGTTTTAGGTACATGCAGAATGCAGGAGTTCAGAGGTTAAAGCTTCCACCTATGTTTCAGAGGGCCTGGGAGGCCAGGTGGTATGTCCCTAGGAGGGCAGTGTGAGAGGCTGTGAGAGAGAAGCCTATTCAGTGGAAACCCCAGAAGTTTGGAAAAGCCAGGAACGTGGCTCATCTAAGGGAAACTGCAAAGGAGCACAGCCGGCCCCAGAGAGAAGCCCCAGGAGTTACGACCAGCAGCAGAGCCCTAGAGGCGGAGCCGCATGGAGCTCACAGTTTGCTGCAGATTGCTTTGGCTGTTCCACATGGAACTACAGGACTTAATGTTGGTCCTACTGGCTTTTGGGCTTGTGTTGGTCCCAATGCTTTGTAGTCCCCTGCTGTGCATACCTCTTGGAATGGCAATGTTTATCCTGAATGCTGTAAGTGCCACTGAATGCTGCAAGTGTTTAACTTTTCATTTGTACAGGGGCTCACAGCTGAGAGTTTGCCTTAGAACTCAGAGGAGACTTGGGACTTGGACTTTTCAGCAATGCTGCCTCTGTTAGGACTTTGGTGACTCTTAAAGATGGACGAAAATGCCTTTTGCCTAAAGGGATGTGCATGAGTCTTGGGGGCTCCAGGGGTGGAATGTTACGGTTTGTACTTAGTTGTCCCCCCAAAGCCTCATGTAGTTATGGGGCAGCTTCTGGAACTTGATTAATTCATGATCCAGGGCTGGGATTAGGGGTGTGGGAGCCATACCCGGCCTGGGGCAGACAGCCTGGATGCAACACGAGGGAGCCAGACTTGCTCTCTGCGGTGGTTGTTGCCACTGCTTCTGCCCTTTTTGCTCTTGCTGTTTTGCTTTTTTCTTTTTGTGGAACCAGAGCTTGAACTCAGGCCCCTGAGCTTGCCAGGCCAGTGCTTATTCCACTGAGCCATCTCCCCAGGCCATGTTTTGCTATTTTCTGCCACCATGAACTGTCACCCTCTGCCATGTGCCACTCTGTCTGGGACCCAGCTGAGTATGGACTGAAACCTCCACAACCTGTAAGCTAAATAAACCTTTCCTTCCTTAATTATGGGTGTCGGGTACTTTGTCCCTGAAACATGAGACAGTCCTCCTCCTCCTCCATCTCCCCACGCAGGCACTGTGGTCATTGTGAGTAGTGCCTGCACCATCTTCACTTTCCTCTCCCTCCTCATCCTCTCCAGGTTGTCAGACAGTATTGCAAGTGTCAGAAGGGCCATGAAGCTCGTGGGTTGGCCTGTCGCCTTCCCTTGTGAATTCCTGTTTCAGAACGGAAGCTTGTTTCCCCTCCCACCACGTCTTCCTCCTCTAGTGTCCGCTCATCAGCAGCACCATAAGCCAGCATGCCAGCTGCTGGGGCAAATTCATGGTCCCTTGATGCTGCTGGACCCTGTGTCCTTGAAGATTCAACAGCTGGCCACACCATGTCAGTCTTGCCTGCACTGAACCTCAACCAGTTGGCTCTTTTTAATATTAATTAATTAGTGTGTGTGTATGTATTTGGTACACGGTCTCACTACACAGCTTGGACTCATGGTAATCCTCCTGTCTCAGCCTCCCCACTGCTGGGATTATAAGCGTGTGCCACCATGCTTGGTCTTGATGGCCATCTCAGTGTGCCCAGGGGCAGGGCCAGCACAGCATGTAGTGCTGGGATCAAACTTGGGACCTTGAGCTTGCCAGGCAGGTGCTTAGACTGCTGAGCTATCTCCTCAGCCAACCGCTTGGTGCTTAACCACGTCTAAAAGTCAGCCAGGCAGCACTGGACTGGGAGCACCGAACCACCACACCGCTCTGCATCAGATTCCCAATGAGCTACAGAGTCCCTCCCTGCTGGGAAGGGAGAAGGGAGGCGGCTGCGAGGTGTCCATGGCCCGGGCACTGTCTTTCTTCTATTCAGCATTCTCACCCCATGGTGAGGACAGCATAGTGGCCTCAAGGGAAAGAACACCATGCACGAGGGGTCGACAGTCCTGTGGTGTTCCAGAGCCCAGCAGGCAACCAAGATCAGCCTCAGAGACCAGCACCAGGCAGAGTTGGCCCATCATATCCAGCACAAGCCAGTGGTGGCCAGCAGCGGCAGCACTGACCAGCAGCCAGCTGTGTCACCATTGGTATGCAGCGTTATCTGATGTCACCTGGTGACATCAGGACAGCTAGTCCTGCTCCACTTTGCCACTTCTTTTTATTTACTTTTATCTTTATTTACGTATTTGGTACAAGGTTTCATTACACAGTTCAGACTCCGTAGTGATCCTCCTGTTTCTGCCTCCCCAGCACTGGGATTACAGGCACGTGCCACCATGCCCAGTCTCGGCGGGCAGCTCAGCATGCCTGGGGGTGGCGCCGGCACAGCATGTGGTACCAGGGATGGAGCCCCTACTTTGTTAATTCTTGATTTCCAAGTGAAATGAGGTAAATTGTCTACAACTGGCTGTCAGCAGCTTCCTGTTCATCAAGTGCATTCCGCCTAGTACCTGTTTCCTATTATTACTGCTCTGTGATAGCTAATTATACAACTCATCTTAATACAGATCAATGGGCTGCGGAGATAGCTCAAGGGCATAAGCACCCACCTGGCAAGCCTAAGGTCCTGAGTTCAATCCCCAGTACCACAAAAAAAAAAAAAAAAAAAAAAAAAGATTAAAGAATAGAAATCTCTGCTAATGTTGGAAACAGGTTGAGAGCCCTAATTTTCCCAGTGTGCCCCCACAATGGCAGAGCCACTGCAGGCCTTGAACACAGCCACTTTATCTGCCAACTTGAACACACTTTTCACCGTCTTCCGAAATCACAGACTCACAGACTGGGTTCCCTGAACAGGTTACACATTTCACAAAAGTGAAAAGGCTTGGAGACCCATTCAGCATCAGGGTGATGACGGATTTCCTAAATATCGCTAGCGCCACTGTCATACCTCACGACTGCTGGCCAGTGGCGTACCTTTAGACAGCGGTGTCACTTCTGTAAGTGAAGATGAGCATGCTCGGTGCCCAGCTTTCCACAGAGCTGCGTGACGTCAGCTGCGGACGTGACCCGTCAGC